AACTTGAGTAAATGTAATTCATTACTTTCCACCCCTGGGAATATTTTAGATAATTAGATTCCAACAGACAAGTCTTTTCTGAGCAAATGCATGAAGCAGTTTTCCAGATTCTGATTTCAGCTCCAACATGTGGGGAAATAATCCCCCTGAACCCTAATGAATGGTGAATGTTTCACCAGAACTTCGACACTGACTGCCATCAAGTGTTTACCATCTCCGCTAATGAGTCTCTGTTACCTCTTTGGAGCAATTCTGATTCACTTTACGTAGATTAAATATTTATCATTTTAACAACCTCCCAGTGCTAAAGCGTAAAGTTTTAAAATTAGAGTACAACTAATTAAAGAATCAGAATGGATTTTACAGTCTTACACTGCAAAAATGATCTAAAACTGAGCAATAATTTCTCAAAATAACAGTATCTAACCTTAATATGAGTAGTTAAATAAGATGATCTGCCAATGGAATGAGTATTTTTAGCCTTAAAATAAGACAATTCGATATTATGCGCTTTAAATAAGAGACTGCGGTTGTTTTTTCTTATTTTAAATATAAATTGTCTTATTCCATTGGCAAAGTGTCAACCTTATCTGTTCAATTTGCAGTGTAGGTACCCTGATTTGTTCTGGGTGTGAACTTTATAGGAGCTTTTTGTCGACTACCATATAAGTTAGCTTTGTCTAGTTTTGATAACATTGTTTACCTTGAGAAATATCTGGACACAGTGATTTACAATATTAGATACTATTCTTTAAGTCTCATTTTCTCCATTTTCTTCAGTCTATTCTCCTTTTGCATCATATATTACTAAAGTGAACCCTTACCTTTGTTAAATCCTTGCAGGTTTGCTCTCACACTGATGGTGTTTGTGAACTATGGTGGAGGAGGCTACTGGTTCTTCCAGCATGCACCATGGAACGGTGAGGTGAAGGGCAGAACATGCATGCATTTACTGAACCTGAACAGATTGTGCTCTACATGCTGGACACCTGATGCTGCAAGACACAAACAACCTTTTCTTCGCATGAACTATTGTCACCATTCTTCATCAATGGAGTCTGAGAGGACATATAGGGGTTCAGACGTTTTTTCTTTTTACCTATCTGTGGACGTTAATAACCAGGAGGAAATAAGAAGCAATTGAAATAAGACTAGCATGTTAGATAAGTTACTCATCTTTAAAAAAATAAACATTGATCTTTTTGCTGCTATGCTTTTAGTTTAGATTTGTTTTTATTTCATAGCTGAAAATGTTTAGATGAAACACTTTTAATGACAAAACTCCAATTTTATGGCCTGATCTTCAAATTATAAATAAGAGGCACTAATTTGCATGTGCAGTTTTTTAGTAAATGCAATAAGAGGGGGTGTTGCATGTGAAGTGCAAAGACGTGCATCTTATTGGTTCCATTAAAGTGAACAGACTGGGCGTTCTACAGGCAGTTTTAGAGAGAATGATAAAGAAAGATGAGGTTCAAAGCCATGAAGATGGAGGCAAAATTATTATATTCATAAAAAATAATATTCACTGTGCCCCTCATATCTAATTCTATGAACAAAAGTAAAAGAATCTAAAACGTAACTGGGCTCCATGCAAATTTATATTTTAATAAATCGAGGGAGAAAAGAATCTTTGTTTTAAAGAGATACAGACACCCCCCTCTGACTTTTTTTCCAACATGATTTTATTTATTTTGTTATTCTTTAAGGTCCACAGTTATTCATAGAATAAATCCCAATAAAATAACCTGTGTTTGCAATGTAAATTTAGGAAAGTTCAAGAGCTGCTTCCTGCTTTTTTTAAGTGTAATTACCTGCCAAAGTCTAGCAAACCTTCTATTTTCTAGAAGCTTGTAGGTTTTGGTTGGTGAACATGTTTTAATAGAAATGGCACAAATAACATAAAATGGCCAAAGATTGAAATATTCCTGTTGTCTATCCGGTAAACTTACAAAAAGATTATTCAGATAATTGCCTGGTTTAAGATAAGAGGCAAGAAAATTCTCCATCATGCCCAACAGCTTTTAGTTTTCATCCATTACTGTCCATATTTTATTATCCTTCTTGAGTTGCTGGTGAATATGTCCTCTTGACCAAGAGGCGGTTGACAACCTGCAAAAGTTGCCCCACAGAAAAGGAAAATTGCTTGTTAACAAACATTTGTATCTAGTATCGATGCAGAGTAACCATTATAACTGTCATCCCTGTTTGTCAGTGGGAGAGAGCTGGAGTACCTGGAGAGAACTAACGCATGCACAAGGAGAACAAAAGAAACAGATATGGATTCAGTTCAGTTTATTTATAAAACATCAATATATCACACATGCTTTCCTTTAAGGAATCTTATATAAGAACAACAGATTCCAGGTTAGGTATATACATTCCAGCTGATCCCAAAGAAGTCGAGAATAATCTGGACATTTCTCATTACAGGTTATATCAGGATTCTTGAGTACACTCAAAAATACGATGCATTTAATATTTAAAACACAAAAGTGTTTTAGATCAGGCTTAAACAAAAACTAAGTAAAAAAAAAACACCCATAAAGAAATAGATAAAAACTGTAAATGATTGTAAAAAAAACTATAGCTAAATAAAAAATTAAGCTCTGTTTATAAAAAAAAAACTAAAACATACTAAAATGATAGATTTCTACCCTTTTTTTTTTATAATTTGTTTATAAGTCTTGCTCACACTCAAAGCTGGCTTTAATCGAACATTTTTTAAACTGTATCTTATTTTGATATTTATTACTTAAATGCTCATTTTCTAAAACACTGTGCTTTGACCTTGTTGAATCCCGTGCCTTTAGTTTAACCATAGTATAAATAAACTAAACCTAGTTCTAGAACCAATGAAAGCTAAACTAAAAGCATAAAACATTTTGACTAATAAAAACTAGCAAACTCATTCTACAAACAAATTAAAACTAACTGAATTAGAGAAAATTGTTAAATCGTTACAGCTAAATAAAACTAAACCAGGATGGAAACTGCAAAACAATGATAAACTTGTTCTGAACCTGTTTTTGTTTACAGTGCAGGAACTGAATAAGTGTGAAGACACACAATGGGAGAACAGTAGCAGTGAATTATTGTGCATAAGTTGCCTTCATTTTATTATTATTACCACTCGTTTTGCATATTTGCATTGTTCTTCTTTGATTGCACATTTCCTAATAATCTGCACCCTAGTTGTGTGTTACTTAGAGCTGCTGTAACGAGTGAATTTCTCCATCCTGAGATCAATAAAGTCTGTCTTATCGTATCTAGGAGTACTTAAAGAAAAATAAATAATTAACAGCGCTGGCATCTCCTTTAGCGGCTTCGTCCAGGAGAGAAACACCAATCAGTATTTAAGTCTAGAAGATGAAAGAAAGCACATGAAGTAAGACAGTAAAAGCTCAGCCGATAGCTACGTCTAAGACAGTTAACCACTGAAAGACAGGAGAAAGTGGATAATCTATTGAGAACAACAATCTCCTGGATGGTTCCACATCTCAACAGAACACCAGATGTAGCTAAAGAAACAAAAACAATCCCACAACTTTGTCATTCTTTCAGCTATCAAGTTGCTGTTGTAGCCTGTTGCCCAACAGGGTTTTAGATTATTTAGTCTTTCTATCCTGCCCCCAAAATAATGAGCTTAGCAGATCATGTATTTAGGTCTTGTTAAATGAGGAAGTTATGTCCCTTTAAAAAAGCTGTTGTGCCTCGGGGGGCTTCCTCACGGTTCTTTTCCTGGGAGCAAGTTATTTACTACTCTTAACTCAAACTGGGTAAAACCATATAAAACAGGAGTAAAAAATAACAGAGTTTATTCCAGATCAGGTCGTTACAGGACAGAGAAAATGCTTGAAGCTTGCACAGCTGTGGGCTCAAAAATCACGTCCGCAAGCGTCCGGCAAAGATTGAGCCCCGAACAACGTCATTTCCTGCTTCTTATAGCTCATGAGTCTATGTGTTGCATCATGTTGATGTTTAGCTGTCCGTATCAGAAACTGACACGCCATCCATGTCTTGAACTTCATGCAGCTTGCCTCTATGCCTCAGGGTTACAGATAGCTCTCCTCTATCAGACCGGCTCCAAGAGGTTCCCATAGGGCTGGGCGATATTAAAAAAAGCTTATCGATAGAAAAAAATGCATATTAATCGATATCAATAATTATTGAAAAGATTTGAAACCATATTTTATGTGCAGCTCTGCCTGGACATTTTATGATATTGCTAAATGATTTAATTTTAATACAGAATGCAAACACAGACTTCCAATTAAATCTTTATTTAACCAACTTTTTTAACCATAACAGAATTGTTTTAAAGAAAAATAACTTAAGAGACATGAGTTATGTTATTTAATACTGGCAAAGAATAAACTAAAGTGACCAGAAAAGTGACCGAAATAAATATAACAAATAAATAAATGGACGCCCCACCCCCCACCCGCATTCTTCTAAGCTGAACCTGGTTCGGCTTAGTTTCCTGCTTTAACCTGAGTTATTACTTTGAAGTTTCTGGCCCCTCAGCATTTTTCTCTCAATTGTTAGAACTACGTGGGAAACTGCCCAGAACTGAAAATATATATATATTTCCCCGCGCCGGGGCCTACACAGCTCGTACTCCTGCGGGTGTGAGCGGCTGAGATGATTAAAAAATAGTTGGTTGTGTTATCAGACTTCATTTTTACTGGTTCCCTACAAATTTGACAGATGACTGTGGTTTGTTTTTTGGTCCGACTTGCCATGACCGAAATACTGCCAGACTGGCGAACTACAAAACCTTTCTTTGGAACAATTTCCTCCGCCTCTCCTTGCTGCGACATCTTCATGTGCTCTGTGTTGTGGTTTGAGAGGGCGGCGCTTTGTGACGGCGTGCCTGGGTCCGCGATTGTGATTGGTTGGGAGGAAGCAGTGACTAGCATAAACCTACATGCTAGGCTACAATGAGAAGGAAGGAAAACTGTGGTTTTTTTTATCGAACTTTTATTGACTCTCTTTTTTTCTATTGCGCCACACGTCTATCGATCGATATATATCGTTATTGAATTATCGCCCAGCCCTAGGTTCCCATATCCTGTGTATTTTTAAAGACACAAAGGCTGCCCTGATTAGATGACCTCCGTACACACAGTGACAATCACAATATGAAGAAGGGCCATCTACTCTCTCTAATCTGGCAAATAAAGTAACAATGCACATGATGTATAAAAAATAAACCTAACAGTCTTATTCTAAAAAATAAATCTAAAATTTTATAACAAAGGATCCCTGAATGAGAAGACTTTTAAAAGCCTCATTGAAGCCATTTGTTAATAACCTCACTGATTGTTGCAGGTTTAACTGTGGCAGATCTGGTCATGCCCTGGTAAGTATACCCTTATATTTCTCGCTCCTATGACACCCTGCGTGAATATTACGTGTTGAATAAATTCCTGGTGTTGTGTCTCGCAGGTTTGTTTTCATAATTGGGACTTCGGTGGTTCTGGCCTTCAGCTCCATGCAGAGGAGAGGAGTGAGCCGCCTGCAGCTGCTGAGAAAAATCACCTGGAGGACAGTTGTGCTGATGATGCTCGGCTTCTGCTTCCTCAACTACTCTCCCAGAGACGGCCCATGTAGGTGTAGAACAAGCTGACAGATCACACAGAAGGCTCTTTAAACTGCGCTTTTATTTTTTATTCCAGTGTCTTTACAAAATATGGGTCTGGGTCATTCAGTAAAATACCTGATGAGTTTATGATTAAAGCTAAATCTCCTGAGCTGAGATGGTGCTGAAAATCTCCATGGGATGCACAGTGGCGCCCTTTTACGCATTATCTGTGGCGCTAATGGACTTTCCTGCACGGCTGTCAGAATAACTGGGTTAAGGAAAACGTTGTTGTGGAGATGCAGTCAAGGTCTAGCAACTGGGGACGTTTAACAGCAGCAAAAACAACCGCTATTTGGTAATGGGCGATTACAAACAGATAGAGTTACAGCTGGACTCTGCTGATCACAACAGCTCAGAGACTTTCACCATAAACGCTGGCTTTGCCCTCCGTCTCCAAGGGCGACTCTTGGCTTTTCAGTCCCACCGTTTCATCTAATAAGGGAATGGAGTTTCATTGGCTCTGTATGTTCAACCCTTTCAATGTCATCCTGAAGAGAAGGAGGTGTTAACCTTTATCAGAAGCAATGACTCACTTAAAATAAACGTTCAAATAGCAGAGCCAATCAGGTTCATTTCAATGAGAGAATATATATTTATATCCTGAATATTCATTACATAGTAGAAAATGATATATTTTAGATTTATAATAACTTGAATTATGTCTTAAACTGATATAAAAATATAGTTTTTTATTTTCTTATTTCATTCCATTGCAGTAAACCCTTTAAAGCCCGATCCAAGAATAAAACAAAACAGAAAATTACTTTTTTTTTGGTTTGAAGTCCTTATTTGGCTTTTTAACAAAATATGTAAAAAGAAAAAACAGAAATACATTTTTGATATTAATAATTTATTACTATGCGATAAGTCAAGATTATTTTTTGTGTAGTCTTCTAATGGCTGTTATCAGGTATATCTGATTGTGTACAATAGGATTTTGAGCAAAGTTTTTACCATNTGTGTAGTCTTCTACTGGCTGTTATCAGGTATATCTGATTGTGTACAATAGGATTTTGAGCAAAGTTTTTACCATTAAATTATGCAAAAGGTGTCAGACGCAAAACATTTCAGAAACCGTATGTATCAAATACGATACATTTGGCATTACAGGGTTAACAGAAAGTCACTGACACCCTCCACAGGTAGAGTCAGGAATAAAAGGTTATGGTGAAGAACCTATCTGGTCTAAGTGTAGTTATCAAGCTTTTCAGTAGCTGCACCCCCCACGCTTGAAAGGGCCGGACCCATGACTTTAAGAGTATAGCACGCTTTACTCAGACAAAGCAGTTGAGACTTTTTCCATTCTTTTTTTTCCCCCATTTTGTGGTCAGTCTTAACAGCAGTCAGGTAAAAACCTTCGGACAGAAAGACAGTTATGCTCGTTAGTGAACATACTATTGAGGACAAACAAACTATAAATGAAATCAAAATACTTGAATCAATCTAATCTTCATATCCACATGACAGTTTTACAAAATGTACCACAATATTGCACCTTGCCCAGACATTTAACCTTAAATACCATAAAGCACAGTGATGTTATGAGATGAGCCGAGGCTTCGAGGCGTGTGTCCAGTAATGGAGGGGGCGTTTCCCTGAAGCACGTGTCGAGGCGTGATTCATTTAGGGGAGGGGCAAACATTTATGACGTCCGAGGCCTCGCTACCGTGAAACCACGTGACAAGAAATTTGACAGGCATCTAAACAGCCTCAGTGTTCAGTCAAGATGTGGGAGTTTGGGTGAAAGTTGCTGTCAGCTGGATAAAGTTTGGATAGATTCTAAGAATAGATTGGTTGGAAAAACAACCAATCTAGTTGGTTAAAACTAATTTGGTTAGAATAAACAATGTAATGATCAAAATTTGAGGAAACGACCGGAAAAAGTCAGCGTTAACACGTCATTTTTAATTAGTATTTTCCTTCCTAAAATGGTTGCGTCATCTGTAAGAGACAGGCTCTCACTCTAGAGCTTGATGGTTCAAGACCTGTCTTTGAATTTTTGAAAGTTGCGATTAAACTTAATTATTTTGGCTGATGAGACTAATTTGCATTGTTTTGCCCGAGTAAAACTATAGATTGGGTAAATGAGGTCGGTTTAGCCAAAAGATTGGTTGAACACAACTTCCAACCTGATTAAAACCAAAAAAACATGGAAAAACTATCATGTTTGAATAAAAATGACTAACACCTTTCATTTTGCTCATCATTACCCAATTTGCACAAACCCTTTCACTGTCTGCTTGAGTTAATTTCACTAAAATGGCAGAAAAACTGTGCACCTTAAATGATTGTTTTAAGAAATTTTACACCAACCATTAATAATTTCAAAGAGCCTAAAAGGGGGGAAAATATCACAGATTTTATTACAAACCGTAGTTCTGCTGTCCACCAGTAGGTGGTGACATGTTCACATGAAGCCTCATGAGCTTTGGGGATCATTGAAGCGATCTGGCCAAACGGCTCAATGCCTCATGAGGCTCACCATCATCTCACCATCACTAGCACAAGCACAACCTGATAAAGCACAACATGGATACACATTTCCCAAATTATTTACTCCACTGCAGGCGTTTTCAAATCAAGGAGCATAAATCAAATGAGGAGGACTCCACTCAAATTACACATAATTAAAGAGCAGTAGCAGTAAGATCCTATACAATTCAGATTTCTTACCGGCTGCCTCTTCAGTTTTTTGACATTAGCCCTTAATTCTCTGCAGCTACTTTTCAGCACTTTCAAGATATTAGCAGCTTCTTCTTATTATTATTTTAAGGTGGTTGGCAAACTTGTCAAATGTGCATTACCGCCACCAGCTGATATGGAGTAAAGCAAGGAAACAGGAAACGATTCACCCCAGAAACAAAAATAAAAAATAAAAAATCCTGTGTAACTTAACCCAACATAATAAATACAAAATCACATTTGCCCTTATAATTTAAATTTAACTTTAAGTCATCGTCACTCTGCCTGTTTCTGATGGTGATATTAGCAGCTGCTTTCCTAATTGTCATTTATGCTTTCACCAATGTGAGGCGAAGCATTTCAGGTGTGCACACTAATAGCCCCGCCCTGGGCTGCAGCCAATTAGCAGGTCAGTGCATATTCATGGAAAGTTAATTGGAAGGAAAAAATTCACTTAAAAAAGGTGCATCCTCTAGAGCAGGCATCCCCAAAGTCGGATCTCGAGGGCCGCTGTCCTGCAGGTTTTACAGTAGAGGTTTCCCTGCTCCAGCACAGCTGATTTACATTGATAGTTAATTAACAAGCTTTTGCTGAACTGCAATCATCAGAATCAGCTGTGCTAAAGCAGAGAAACCTCTAAAACCTGCAGGACAGCAGCCCTCGGGGACCGACTTTGGGGATGCCTGCTCTAGAGGCTTGTGAAGCAAATCTATTCAAGTTTTTAGGGAAGATTTTTTAGAGCAGCAGGAGTTGGTGCTTCAAGGACCTCCGCACAAAAGCTGTATCCAACGTATGGATTGTTAACATCCCCCTGTGTAGAGCTATGGCTAAACCTAAACATCAGACACATTTTACCTGAGATATGAAGAAAAATGACAGGACTAACTCAGAATGATCCAAATATGATATTTATTGTTGCATTTAACTCTGAAATCAAGGTACCAGGGAGTAAAAATAAAGGATTTACCTTTTGGAAATGTTGATAATAAATAAAAGCTTTTGGAGTGCACCTGTAGCTATATGGGAACAATAATGTTTGAATGAAGAAATAATTTTATAGTAAAGTGGTTGCAGTGAAGCTCAAACAGCCAGGCTTTAAACTCTATAGCAGAATTTGTTTTCTTAAAACTTTATAAAAAACAAAAACTTAAAATTGAAACCTTTTTTTGCAGTGCCAATGACTTTACTTCTGTTTATGATATTGCTGAAAGTGCTCAGCCACTGAGAATAGACGGTTTTCTCCTAACTGATATTGAACATCAAATATCAGTGTAAACTTTCAAAAAGCATCAATTCCTCAAAAACGTAACAGTTTGCAGCTTTTCTTCGCCTCGCGGCTGCATTTAAGTGTCAGCTCTTGGAGCAGAGAGCTGCAAATGATCTTTGTGGGGGGGTGTAACCTACAGATTCAGCTGAAGTGTCATCAGTAAGAGCTTCCTCTTTTCCTGCGAAAGGAGACACTTCCGCCTCTTATTTGATTTGTTGGGATCAATGATTGGGATCATATTGTTTTACAGCGCATTGTGTGACCAAGAGGACTTCAATTAACTAATGTGTAGATTACCATCAATCTGCCAAGCCAGCAGCCAATCAGAACCATGCAGATAGATTCAAGACCAAGAGATAACCGGGAAACTTTAATCAGCTTGATTCATTCATTACCATATATTTCTGGACCTAATGTTGTCCATATTTGTACTATAGGGAGTAATTTCTGCACCTCTTTTGACATAATTTACAGTGTAAAAAGCTAATTGTGCATCCTTTGTGCAGTTTTGAGTGTTTACCTTGTGTGTTGCTGGCTGTGTCGCAGTGTCCTGGTCCTGGCTTAGGATCCCTGGAGTGCTGCAACGTCTGGGCTTCACCTACTTTGCTCTGTCTCTCCTGCAGACTTTCTGGGGCCAGAGACAAATCCCAGAGAGCGCGGTGAGCAATTCATGTCAAGTTTACTTTTTGTCAGTCGCTAAATGCACACAACAGAGAATGACAGTAAAAGGGTCCAGTCTTAGGCAGCACATTTAAAAAACGACTTAATCTAAAGCCATGCAAGCAGGTAAAGGAAAATACGAACAGAAAAAAATAGGAAAAAAGTGACATTTTTATTATATTAATTAAACACGTTATCATGAGGAGCTCTTAATGTTTTATTTTATTATCTTTGTATGATCACAACATGAAAGTTCAATTATTTAGCAATTTGACTTGAAGAAAAGATCATTGAAACCAGATGCATGCTGGGTAATGACAAGGTTTAAAGGAATAGTACAC